GACTCACACATGAACATTTACTCAAAGGAGAAGAACCACCAAAATGCCTTTATTGCAACAGAAACCAAACAGTTAAACATATTCTTGTGGAATGCCCCATTTTTAATGTTATTAGACAACAATATTTATCTGGAGAGACTTTAAAGGAAATATTTTTAAACGTGAATCCATCTAAAGTTGGAGAATTTTTATCAAAAGGAAATCCTAAAAAACGGTTTTAGATTTTTTTCTTATATATTATCATTATTATTATTATTTATATGTTTTACCTTGTACATTATTTATTGCTGTTGATGACTTTTAATTGTTAGAATATTTTTACTTGATCTATTTTCCTTTTGCCATGACATAGCCATAGACGCTGAAATGGCAATAAAATTAAAACTCTCTCTCTCTCTCTCTCTCTGAGTTAGAACTAAATTAATGTTATAAAAACTAATTACCAGGGCTATTGTGTTTAAACAGGGTTTATGCGGGGTTGTAAATTACAAAATCAAAATTTTAGGCCTTAAAGTCTTAAATTTACTGAAATGTTGTATTGTAGGTCTTAAATCTTTTTTAAACAAGTCTTCATTTTCCTTTGTTCATGTTTTGCTGCTCAATCTGGTCAAACCCCATACAATCACCAACAATCCATCTCAATAAAACAGTAAACTTTTTATTCAAAAAGGTCATTTTAACTCTATTTATCATAATGCTTAAATTGTTTTCCTTACAATAACATATGTTTAAACGTGCTCCATGTATTTACTGCTGAGGACAGACTGTTGTGCATATTTTTTTTAAAAAAATTTTTAAAAACTTTTAATGCACTTGTTAATTGTTTTTTTGTTTTTTTAAAGAAAATTTATGTTGGAAAAAGTGAAGTAGAGCTTGCTTGTTTTTACACAATATTTAAGATCTTTTGCTAAGAAATATCTAAAATATTAAATGTTTTTATTATTCATTTATTATTGTATAATTAAATGTATAAAATTATTATTATTTATTTTTTGATAGGGAAAATAAAATCCTTTCTATCTGGGCCATTTGAAAAAATCTTTAGCCCTTTATGAGTCTAAAATTTCATAATGGTCTTAAAAATGTCTTAATGTCTTAAATTTAACTTGGTGAAACCTGCAGAAACTCTGGTTTAAAGTATGTCAGAAAACGTGGATGCCCCCAATATTAAATATGCTAAATGAAATGGACACTAAAATAATTAACTGTTATAAAACATTGTACAGTATTCTAAACTATATGATGTTGCTGTGGGATGACATGAGACAAAACAAACACATTATAGTGGAACAATAACGTTTAGCATTGCACTGACTACAACTGGCCAACAAACTAGTCTAAAAATGACTTTTGCTGTTTAAGAAATGGATTACAGCATGCTGATGATAAGCAAACATTTGAGCGTAAAGTTTGTCAGTATTGACCAAATTCTTCACTTACCAGCAGGCACCGCCATTGAAATCTTTTTGCTTGAGACTTTTTTTTTTAAAAGATGAATTTTTAGATTCTAAAAACCGTGTTATGCTGCTTAGGCATGGGACAGTTTACAAGGTATACCTCGGTTTGAGAAAAGTCAAGGTTTTAAAACCGCCAATATTTTCAGCTGTATTGTTCCTACAGTATATACTTTTTAAAAATGTTTTATTTTAAGTTTTTTAGGACAACAGTATCTCCAGGAGAAAATGTATCCAAATTATGAGGTTTTAAATTGTAAATAAATCTGTATTTTTAAAACAAATGAAGAAAGCAGTTGTCAATTATTCATTTGAATGATTTTGCCAGACATGTTTACTGCTCCAAGATATTGTAAAAGTTTCTCCAATGAAAATATTTTGTTCAAAGGGAAAAAGTACAGTTAAACCATGATATTTTTATTCAAGCTTATCATACCGTCAGAATCTTATACTGGCCCATGCCTAATGCTGCTTGATGTTGCAAAGTCATATTTTCTTATTTTATTGTTTTTTGTATGTATAGTCATGAACACATTTGTTTGTGGAGCAAGTTTATTAATCCTGGTCATTTCTCCAATAGGCAATTGAAGTTCTAAAACAATAGCATATGAGTTCAGGGCCCTGTTTCAGAAAGGAGGTCAAGTGAAAACTCAGAGTATTTTAATCCTGAAATGAGAGAAAGTCTGGGTTATCATTTCAAAATGGCAGGTTTGTCAAACTTGAGAAAGCAGGGTAAGCCAGTTTCTGAAAGAGATCTAACTTTAACTGCGAGTCAGTTACCGTGGTAACTTACTCTGTGAACCTACCTGGTCAGTAGCAGGTTTTATTCTCTAAACTCGTGAGTTTTTGTCAGTCTCCTTTCCTTTTTCTCGCTTAGCCTTACGTTTCCAGCCACCTATTTTTAAGTGCATTTTGGATGGGCTATGAGCATAAAAAAATTGGTTGATGGAAATGTCATGATGCACATAACTTTTGAAATATTGGCATAAAAAACATGTGCATAACTGAGTAGGATAAACTTTTTATTTTATAAGAAAAGATAAAACTTACGTAAACTACGCAAGCACCTTTACTGAACAAATTCCAGTTTGTGCATTAAAAAAGGTTGGTTATAAGAGATTTTATGATGATACAAATGTGTGTGAATGCACAAACCAGCAGGCTGAGCACACTGCAGAGCGTCTAAAATGTTGTTTTGGTCATTCTAAAACACCTGAACCATTTCAGTATTCATGTTATTGTATTATTAATGATCTCCAGAGCATCTGGAGTGTGTCAAGAGTGTCTGTTCTCTGCATCTCATGGCTTCAAACGCCACCACATGTTCATTGTCCTCTGAGGGGAAAGTCATTTATTAAATAAGCAAAAGATTCATGTAACTTCTTCTGCCGTAATAAATTCTATTTTTACTGTTGATACTTGGAACCAGTTAATCAGGATGTGACGATTTTGTTCTCTTTCATTCATTGGATGGAAACGCTGATTTATTTGTGTATTTTTCATACAATATTCCAGTTTTGCAAATAAATTTAGTTCTCATTTTTGGATGGAAACACAGCTATTACCAACATTTCAGTCTCACAAAGAACAGTACGTCACGTATGAGAATGGCTTGGCCTTTAATGAATAATTAGTTTAACATTACAGACCTTCGACAGGGACATGTACTGTATCTATAAAAGCCTTCTCACATTCTTATGTCCATGGAATCGGATTCTTTATGGCTTTAGCCATGTCTTCTAAAGACATTCCTCTCAGACTTCCCTTACATAAATTGGGAACCAACTTCATTGGACCATTTCCCATTATCAAGGTGTTCAGTCTAGTGTTGGTTCAACTCAAATTAAGTCTAAGTTTAAAAACATTCATCCAGTCTTTTTTTCAGGTGTCTAAGATCAAACCCATGATTCTCTCCCCACTGCACCCCATAACCTCTGCTCCTCTGCCTCCCAGACTGGTTGAGGGTGCACTCACATACACAGTGCACTGGCCCCTGCATGTGAGGAGGAGAGGTAGAGAAGTTATCAGTATCAGGTAGACTGGAAAGGTTATGGTCCACAGGAAAGATGTTGGATTCCGGCTCTGGATATTCTGGACCGCTCTCTCATTGATCAGTTTCATTAGTTCCATAGTGAGTCTTAAGGGAATGCCAGGGGCCGTTCTTGAGAGAGGGGGTACTGTCACCGTACCTCACGCTTTTGCTCTCTTCTCCTGTTCTGGGTTACAGATTATCTCATGTCATCTGCTTTTATTTGCAGTCACAGAAGCTCTCGTTTCCCTTTTTTCCTGTTTATACCACATCATTCCCTTCATGTTTGTCAGTATGTTATCGATAATTTGTGTGCATATTATTTTGTTACTCGCCCTGTATTTGTGTCCAGGACCGCTAGTGAGTGAGTGTCTGGTTGTTTTTTCCCATGAAACTTTATCAGCACTCACCCGACCGGGTGTTTACTTTGATTTTTGCTTTTTCCGTTTCTCACTCCTTAATAAACCCTTGTTGTTTTTCTGCATTTGATTCAGTTTTTTTTGTTTTTTGTTTTTTTTACTTATGACACAAGAATTTTCTTTTTCATTTGTGTTTACATGTCTTTAGATTTTGGCATGATGTCTAGCTTTTGAGGCTCTTTTTGTCTACTTCAGACAGGTCCTATTTAGGTAATTTCTTGATTGAGAACGTGTGGTAGTTATCAGGTCTGGGTGTGGCTAGAGAACTTGAACCCGGTGTGATAAATAAAGTTATGTTTAATGGGGAAAAACATTTTCACACAAGTCTGTGTAGTTCAGTGTTTTGTCTTCCTTTTAAGAATAAAATTCTTCATTTAAAAACTGCACAATGCATTTAGTTGTTATCTTTGTCTAATATTTACATTTGTTTGATGATCTGAAACCGTTAAGTGTTAGTATTCTGCATTGCATTCATTACATGCAGATTACTAAACCAGAGAACATTTGTCATCTAAAGGTGCAGGTTTAAGGCTTTATGCAGATGTTATGCAGATATGTCTCATGGCTGTGGGGCAAATATTCTCAGAGATTCAGCTGCTTTTTTTCTGACAGGTTTACCAGTCAGGCACAGAATGAAATAGCATTCCCTATCTGCTTTACAAGTTTTTCAAAAACATGTTGTTTTGTGTGATTACGAATATATACAAATAGAAACTGGCCATTTACAGCTTTCAAATTTATGTCTCATCAATATGACCAAAATGCTCTGGGATTAATCATATGAGTATCCGCTTAAATGTGTATGTGTGTAATGGACACTAGGAGGTTAATATGACAAGATCAATCTAAAAATGATCTGCTGTTTTTACATTTAATGTGCATCAAAATTAAAGTTTTCACTGAGAGTTTTAATGATTTACTAAAAGCTGAACTTTTTTTTATTATTTCAGACCTAGTTAAAGAGTATGAGAGGAGTAAAGAGGAGGAACATCATGTCGAAATTGAAGACAAAACTCATTTAGAGACTGATGATATTTTAAAAATGAGAGACAAGCGTTGTTTTACCTGCAATCAGTGTGGGAAGAGTTTGGCAAACAGAAGCAAACTAAAGATCCACATGAGGATCCACAATAGGGAGAAACTATTCACATGCACTCAGTGTGGGAAGAATTTCGACCAATCATCAAACCTTAATCAACACATGAGGATCCACACTGGAGAGAAACCATTCACATGCACCCAGTGTGGGAAGAGTTTCAGCAACTCAGCAAACCTTAATCAACACATGAGGATTCACACTGGAGAGAAACCATTCACATGTACTCAGTGTGGGAAGAGTTTCAGCCAATCATCATACCTTAATATACACATGAGGATCCACACTGGAGAGAAACCATTCACATGCCCTCAGTGTGGGAAGAGTTTCAGCCAATCACCATACCTTAATCAGCACATGAGGATCCACACTGGAGAGAAACCATTCACATGCAGTCAGTGTGGGAAGAGTTTCAGCCAATCATCATCCCTTAATCTACACATGAGGATACACACTGGAGAGAAACCATTCACATGTACTCAGTGTGGGAAGAGTTTCAGCCAATCATCAAACCTTAATATACACATGAGGAACCACACTGGAGAGAAACCATTCACATGCCTTCAGTGTGGGAAGAGTTTTAGCCGCTCAACATCCCTTAATCAACACATGATGATGCACACTGGAGAGAAAGAGTATATGTGCTTGAAGTGTGAGAAGACTTTTATTACAGCTGCAAAATTGAAACGCCACCAGAGGGTTCACACTGGAGAAAAACCGTACAAGTGTTCACAGTGCAGTAAGAGGTTTGCTCGCTCAGGAACCCTGAAAACACATGAGAGGATTCACACTGGAGAGAAACTGTAGACATGATCAGTGTGTACAAAGTTTCACTTAATCAGGGCAGCTTAAGAAACACATTGGATGGTTTCTGGTAAGGCACCGACACATGTAGCAGCATAGAAAGAGCGCTTCCATACACACTGGTATTAATCCTCCTTTTTACATCATATATAATAACCTAAACCATATTTAAATGACATGGAGGAGGGACAAAAACAAAAAGGCTAGGACAAAACAACCAGTAAATCCTGAAAAAAATGAAATTTACAGACATCAAAGCCTTCCAGAAGAATATTAAATCTGATTTAACCGCCTTCCAAGATTCTCTCACAAAAGATGTGAAAATGGAATTAAGTAACTGTAAACAAGAAGTCAATCAACAACTGGATGACCTTATCACGGACCTAAATGCAACGACAGAAAAGGTCAACGAAGTGGGGCAGCGAGTTGGAGAATTTTGGAGGAGAACATTGCTGAGATGAAAGAAATGCTCAATCAATCCATTCAAATACAAGAAAATTTAAAAGAGAAACTGTGAGATCTAAAAACACACTCCCGTAGAAATAATAATCAGATTTTTGGAATCCCGGAAGGAAGCATTCTAAATGAAAAGGGAATTAAGTTCTAAACACCACCGCCGGCAAAACTTAAAATCTTTTTGGTAAACGGGCAGATCATGTACAATTCAATGACGGAGGCATCAAGAGATCTGAAAGAAAAAGGACTGATAAACAGCGAATAAGAAACTATTATAGGAATCCCTGGGAAAGAGAAACAAAGACCTTGGCAAAAGGTTGGAGTGACATGGAAGAAAAGTATGGAAAAACATCAAGCGAAGATCCGGGAAAAACTGTGAATTTTAAAGGGACAACACTAGCTTTGTTTGAAAGGGTAAAACCTGACAAATCCTGACAAAAAACTCTAAGAGACTGGTAAATCTTCTTGACTTGATTCACCGATAATGGACCAAGGTTATAATAGTTTTGGATTTTTCATTAGTTTTAGTTTCTATTTCGTTTTGACTTTTTATTTTAATTTTTTTATAATGTATTTATTAATTTTTAAGCAAAACAGATACAACAACAAACAAGTGAACAGAACCTGGGGAGAAAGAAAAGAAAGAAAAAAAAAGGGGGGGGGGGCATTCATTAAAGTAGCGATATTGCATCCTTGTTAAATCAATCCTCTGATGATTATGGAGGTTTTGTTTAAACCCATATGTAACAAAAATGGATCCCACCTCTCATGAAATAAAACATCTTTGCCATGTAGGACACAAGTTAAGTAGTTAAGTAGGCAAACAGAAGGGGTGAGAGAGGGCAACCTTGTCTTGTTCCTTTCTCAATTTTGAACATAGAGGATCTACAGCCATTAGTGAGTACAGCACTAAAAGGCTCATTATACAATATTTGTACCCACTTAATAAATTGTTCACCAAGACCAAATTTATGTAACGTATGGAATAAAAAGGGCCATTTGATGCGATCAAACGCCTTTTCCGCATCTAATGAGATCACAAGACCTTCTACTGATTGTTGTTTAGCAAACTGAATCACATTCAAAAGACGTCGCATGTTATTTACCGAGTTACGGCCTACAATAAAGCCAGTTTGGTCATCCTTTACTAATACAGGAAGAAAGCCTTCAAGGCGGGTGGCCAAAATTTTTGAAAGGATCTTCAGATCTACATTTAGCAGTGATATGGGGCGATATGACGAACAGTACTCTGGTTGTTTTCCTTTTTTCAAAATTAATGATATATTTGCCTCTCTCAGTGACTGTGGTAGGCGGCCTTTTCTAAAAGAGTCATTAAACATATTTAATAATGGATCCACTAATAAGTCTTTGAATTCCTTATAGAATTCACAACTAAGTCCATCTGGACCAGGTGCTTTCCCAGATTGTAAACTCTTTATTGCTGCTAGAACCTCATTTTTAGATATAGGGGCATTAAGGGGTAATGACTGATCTTCGGATAACGTGGGGAGATTAAGTGTCGAGAAGAAAAGCTCTGTGGTTTGCAGGGCTGATAGTGGAAAAAATTCCTGAGCCTGAACTTTTTTTCCTTGCCCCTGAGGTGAGTAGGGGTGGGGGTACTATGTATGCAACGCACTTTTAACACATAACTTGTGGGCCCCTGGGCCCAAATATATTAACAGCCGATGTGTAACCCTGATCATCATTATTGTCAAGTGGCTCTTTTTAGACACATGCCAGTAATGTCAGTGACACATGCCAGTGTCAGTGATCTTGTGACATGTGCCAGTAGGTGTCAGTATAAGCACGTTATAAGCACATTAATCTTATAAGTCTCTTTGCTTTAATATTTAGAAATCATTAGGCAAATGACACCTGTTATCTTACATGCATATATGTTATGAGTTTTCAACATGCATTTTATTATAACTTTTTAAAGGATATTATTTAAAATACCTTTAAATGAAAATAAGTTAAATAATAAAATAAATGAATGAATTAAAAACATAGAGAAGTCCATATTGTAGGGAACAAAGGAACTGCCAGGATGCAATAATATACAGTACAACAGATAAGTGTAACCCCTCCCATACATAAGCATGCCACAATAAATTTGACTGACATGTACTGTCAAATGACTATATTACGTACGGAAGTATGACTACGAATACATAAAATAAATGCGTTTAAATTAAAACATCGTGGAGTAGCTCAGCAAATAAACTAACTTGCGACGCGATAAATTAGGTTAAAAGTCGCGTAATGATTAAATATGGTTTTGCTCGTGTTAATTAATGTCATAAGCTTCGCCGGGTGTCGATGTCACTGCAGTGACATGCAGCGCGACACTCTGAGTGACACAGGTCACTACACATGCCACTAGCGAGTGACACATGACAGTGGAAAACCGGACGTTAGGCTTGCCATGATAGACGGTGTTGACGGTGATACCGGTGTTAAGACGCAACACCGGTGACATCACTTTTTCACCGTGACACCGTCCCCACATTTTTTTTTTTTTTAAGTATTGTTTTTTTTTTAATTATTTAAATATTTATTTGAATTAAATGGGAAACATAATTCTAAATAATTTACCTAAGATGAGAGCATGCACTATAATTATCATCTGATCATAGCTACAATGCGTCATATTTCATTTATCACATCAAGAGAACAAGAGGAGTCGAATTTACAGAAAGAGAATGGCGGACGGATAAGTGTCAAAACGCAATGCAAAAGCGCCCGTTTGGCTATATTTTGCAAAAAGAGAACCTGAAGACGTAGGTAAATGAGGCAATCTGCAAACTTTGCCTGACAATGGTGGCAGCAGTTGGAGGAAACACAACTAGTTTATACACTCATTTTCAACACTTGATGTTCAACTATGTGTGGGTCCCGGGTAGATAAGATCAATAGCCATAAATGCGCAACGCATACTGATTTTTAAAATCACGCGACCATCATCTCACAGTTTAATAATAAATTATCTTTTTTTGCAATTGATTATTATGCGTTTAATGTAAAAAAAAAATCAATGAAGAATAGGCCGACAAAGGAGTGGGCTAACCAGTGTGTGCGCGCGTCTTTTATCACTGAGGACGCTCTCTTCAAAAACCGAAAGTTGCTTCGTCTGTCTGGCAATATTTCGGCTTTTAATAAATGAAAAGTTAATTTAGATGAGTCAATATTAAAAAATGCAATAAAGTAACTGAGACGTGCGGCCACACATCAAATCTGAGGTCTGATCTCATCTCTCTCTCTCGCTGTCATCCAGACACAGACGCCTAAGTCGCAAAACTGAGGCTGGTACCAGCTGACAGGTAGAATTGCTGAACCCTTGCGAAATCTGTCAGAATACAGCAATGAAATAAACATGCATAAATGTCTTTGAGCCAGAAAGTCTAGCTAGGATATCTCAAAACGCAATTGGAGCCGTGGAGGAGTTGTGTATTTCTGTCGATTTGTTTTATTTCGTTAAGTAATAATTTAAAGCTTTCTATAAATATATTTATTATGTCTGTGAGGCATATACATTTTGCTTCATTTTGTTAAGCGCTCCTGTTCAAAAACCAGACGACAGAAAGCGCATCATTTTGGTTTTCTTTATTTTATAAAAACGCTGTAACGTTTTTTGATGTATTACTCGTACTTTGTGAGCAAAAATGACGGATAACTTTAAATTGCTCCCACTGAAAAAATGCAAGTGATTGCTCTGGCGCCTCGATGTCCTGCAAGCTTTTTATAAGCAAACTATGCGCCTAATAGCACACATTCTTTAACGTTTAAGCTACCATTGTTTTATACTTTAACTGTTTTATATCTTTTATTTTAGGCAAGTCGTGATGATCTGAGAAGGCAAACTGATCAAACAGACAATGATGGTCTTCCGCTGCTGTTCGTTAAAAAAAAAAATATTTTTAACGAATAAAAAATGCTCCAAACGTTTTTCTAAATAAGCTGAATAAAAAACGAAACTAAATATAAACACTTTGCCATTAGGCTACATACAAAACTGAACTATTTCATAGCTGAAACACTAAGTTGTTTAAGGAGAAGGGGGAAATATATTTTTGTCCCGTCTATTGCTTCACCGTTATTTCGAGAATAAACCCAGCGTAAATATGCAGATGTCATTCCCAAAACATATCAGCGTATATGTGCCGAAAACGAAAGTTTCATACAAATTCTGAATGGATTATTGCCTGGAAAGTGCAAAGCACGCTCCTCTTATTATCACTAAAAAGCGTCACTAATCTTAGTTCATAGAGATCTCACAAAGATCCGTTTTATTTATAAAGCTCTCTAATTTACACAATTAATCTTTTA